CGGTTTTGAATACTATTAATCACATTATTAATTTTCGATCGGAGCAGTGAGCAAGCAAAAATTTTTTGTTTAAACACCTATTAAAGCCGGACTAATAGCCTTTATAATTTATTAACCATTTTAATGTGTACATGCGATCGACAGTTATTTTCTCATCATTGTATACCTTTAATGGACCAACAAAATGCTATTTAACCATTTTTACTTTATTGGTCCTATAGGTCCTATATGGTACTCCCATGTAGTTAACATTATAATGTTAACTACAGGGGAGTCCAGAAAACGGCGATATGCAATTAATTTGTTTGTTGCATTTTTTCTCTATCTTGCTTAATTTTCAAGAAAAAATTAAATTAGGTTGGGCTGCCCCATTAAATTAAGCCCTTTGATGACTACTAAAAAACTAAAAATTTTTATAACATTTGATCTTTAAAATTTTGGAGAAAATAAATATTTTATTAATAACTTTATCTATTTTTCGTTCATAATGACTTCATTATAACACCGCTTTCGGTGCTGTAATGAGATACTTTATCCCTCCCAAAATTTTGATTTTATAGGTTGTCTATACTTTAAACAGCATAATATTTTGCATATTGGTTATAATATTTTTATGATTTTTTTAGTACTTACGAGACTTTTCTGGTAATAAATTTTGTTTAACACCAAAGAAAATCCTTTTTTTTTCTTGTTTAACTTTAACAGCCGCTTATTGTAAATAAGTAAATTAAGGACGGCATGGCGAATCGATTTTGACATTAACTGTCAAACCAATGACTGTGATACCAACTTTCTAAAGTAAAATTCGACCAAATTAAATTTAAGGTATAAAATTAATTTTGTTTACAGAATTTTTGCAAAATAGATAAAATAGCATACATAACTCATGTCATAAGACCTTTTGTCGCACTAGTCCATTACAAAACTCGCTCCTTCGTCGCTTATGACATTAGTAGTGATAATTATAAAAATTATTTTGCGTTTTTTTTAAATTAAGTATTTTTTGTATTTGCAATTTGCAATTTTTAAAAGCTTTCCAATGAGGTATCACCATTTTTAAAAAGGGTGTTGTCATTACTTAGTGAGTAATTTTAAATTCGGCCAGTGTTAAATTGTGAGTTTGTTACTTACATAATTATTTAAATTAATCTCATATTGTTTTAAATAACTTTAAGGTAGCTGTCGTGGTACAATATTGTCAAAAAATTTTAGATTATACGCACCGTAAAAGTATACGAGCTTGTAGCTAAGTGATTCATAATTTGTTCGCAAGACTGTACCCTGGAGACGTTACCTTTACGTAATACTTTCAAATATTTTCATAAGTTTTAATCCGGCAACGTCGCTTATGCTCAACCAATACATATATTGGAGACCAAATCAGTCCGTTTGAATTTACTGCGGAAATAATATCTATACTCGCGTACAGCGTTGCCAAGTTGTTTTTATCTGACACTAGTAATGTATACTTTTTACAAATTGTTGAACTTTAAACGGTTATTTATAAACAATTGGACGGTCAAAAATTTTTAATTATTTTTTTTTAAACTCAACAAAAATACATTAAAACACTGTTAGTTTTTTGAAAGCTTCTGACAGTTAGTTTTTTCTGTATAACTAAGAAACTGGTACAGAACTACAGAAAGCCTATACAATCCATGTTAATTATCCAATTTTTAATTGAATTTATCTCGGGTTATAGACGGTCAATCGACTTCAAATTTTAAGGGTATATGTATTGTCATGTCCTTAATAAGTATACAAAAATTTAAAATTTTCTGATGGTATGCTTACAGCACGACAACTACCTTAAATCATATAGAATTTATGTTCTTGTATACATTTCGTGAAAATGTCAAAATGTATGTATGTACTGATTTGGCGCAAAATACGTTTAAGTGTCCTCGTGTGCCGATTCGTTGAATTTAAAGTTGCACCAAAGTCGTTTTTAATACGGGTTGGACCACCTTGTAAAGTGCAGTATTTATTTGCAGAGAAAATATTCGCGGTTTTTCAGTGAATCTCATTTACATTTCGAATTTTTTCTTGTGCAAATAACGGAGTGCAGCTTGTTTGCCGATGGTCCCAAGTAAATAAAGGTCGAGGAAAAACAATAACATATAAGGGAATTTGTCAGGGAATACCGAAGGCATGTGCAACGCAATTTATACATGTGTAGCCGAAATCGTTTTGATTTTTTTAGAGGCCAGTTTACATTTCCTTACACAATGCACGAATGAGAGAATAAGAAAAAGAAAACGTTAAAACACGTCGAGCTCTGCGAGAGGCCGCCGAGATTCAGGAAGAAAGTAATTTAAAAGAAAAAAGTAAAAGTGGACGGTTCTTATCGCATTGACAGCCGAAAACAATATAGCAAACTGCTGCGCAAAAAAACCACGAGCGAACAGTTCTTTATTGCGAAAATTCGATGACCCCAGATGATGTATGGAAGCTGTTTGTGGAATTAATTGAATTTTTCGCTTTTTGCGTGTGAAAACATTTTGTGGGTTGGGTTTATGTTTATTTATTTATTTCGAAAATACCAAACAAAAAGTGCATTGCATATTTTAATAATAATAATAAGGACGTTGCCTTTCAAGCACTCCCTTTTCTTTAAAATTTTACGTTCCGTTTTTATTTATTGATGGGAATCGCAAATGCCAGCTGAATTATTGATTTCCACTCGAAATAACGACCCAATCAAATTAATAAGCTCAAAAAGTCATATACAGAAATAATTATTATGCCCAGATTGCCGCTATATAAGTTAATTACGGTCTTCATAAAATTTAACATAAACATAAAAAACGATGCCTACTTGTTTACTTGCTTTAACTAACGCCTACTGTTTTCTCAGCACCAAGAAAATTGCCTTTATTATAAATAGCAATAATCTACCCATAACTGTTACTTACGCTTGTCAAAATAACCACACAAACAAAAAGAGAACATTTATGCAATTTTTTTTAAGTACGTTTTAAACATTCCATCAAAGTTTATAGGATTTTTAATCCGCTCTAATAAGGACCACCGGTTGTGATAAAATGAAAATATTTCTATTTAAATTCGACTACGTAATCTGCTCGTTGCAGTACTAAATGAGAATAGACGGTGTTTACGTATACAAAGTTTAAAGAATAATACAAAAAGTGCATTGCTTTTTTCCGTCACTGTACCTCAGTATAGGGTACTTAATTGTCTCAAAGTGCATTTTTTATGAGATCAGCGACCCGCTAAAGCAAATATTTCCTGGTATTTCGATTTGGGATTCAAGCGAGGCGTTATTTTCGTTTTCACAGAATGACAAAATATAATTACTTGGGTAATCTACCAGATATCGTATTTAAAAATGCAACAATCCGGTTTTTCTTGGGACATACTTTATAGGACTGACAAAATTTTGGCGATAATTGACGCCCACGCCAGGATTAAAACAGCATGCTGTTAAAGTGCGTTTTACCATTTTAAAAGCCCCTTTTTTGTGTAGTACAGCATATCAGGGGTCTAATATCATATATTATTGCCCGTATTATTTAAAATTTTAATTTATGAAATTGTTACCTAGGTACTTAGATTGACTTTGCTGGTACTTGAAAAAGGACAACTTTGGTAATATATTAAACAAAACAAAACACAAAGTGCTTAAAGTACTTTTGACCAACGATGCTGTTTTGATTTGGTGTTGGGGAATATTTCTAATGACTGCTGGGTTTGAAATTAGACCCCTGATATAATAAAAACATTAAGAATAATAGAAGTGAGATTCATTTGAATTGAATTTTAATTCGATTAGAAGGCGGTGCATTGAAAAATAATTTAGACATTTGATTGTGATATAAAATCGATTTTTCTAGCAACGCCTCCAAAAAAGTTACTTTAATTGGAAAATAGATGTGTGCAATATAGCCCTGGGCAATATCATTAACTAAGACATTATCCTTGTAAAGTATTCGGAAATTTTTGTATCTTGGCCAAAATGATTCACAAAATTGGTAAAAGGGGTTCCCCCTTATTGCATCTAAATGACTAACAAAAATACCAAAATCGTAGGTTTGGTATTACAAATTATCCGTTTGAAAATTTCTCGTGATTGTACAAAGGAAAAATTATTCTGTCACAATGTATAAAAGGTGCATCATGGCAGGGTTATTAAAATACCTAGCCCGTGCAACATTTAAATGTGAAGGTAGCATGTTTCCATTTTTACCTTTCTATATAGGTACATCTAATGCCTATCCAATTTGTTCGGTCAATTTTTTTTATTATTATTAAACGAATCCAGATCTACCTACTGATATCAAAACCGTAATAAACTCAGCATTTTAAAATACCCGACATTTTGTTTTTAATTAACACGAAAACTGTAATTACTACACTACTCGTTCGAGTATACTTCATATTTATTGAATTATGACTAACTGTAAAAAAATAGATGCACATACTGCATATATTGACCTAGAATATTTGATTAGCTATAGAAGTATTAGGGACATCATAATTTTAATTTTGTTTTGTATTCTTATTTTACAAAAAAAAATTATTTAATTTATTAAAAATATTGCCAGGTGTCCGATTAAAATATTTATGAGCAAGATAAAAATATCTTATGCAACCTATGGCAATCAATGTACAACATACATGTTTATAAGCACTTATGAAAGTTATTTGGCAAAATATTACCCAATAACTTAACACACCTAACTAATTAATAATTCCTGTGCATTTTCGAAAAACATGGCTTGCAAAATGGGCCAAGTTAAAAAAAAATGTGTCAGCGATATTTACAAAATACAATAAAATAAACTTTATTTTTAATAATTATTTAGTAAATGTCAAGATATTAATTCGCTGGCCTTTAAATAAAGAATTCGTTTTAATAAATGTCAGACGAAAATAATTTTGGTTTTTTATTGAAATTAATTATATTTAATTGATTTTAGTTTTTTTTTAATAATTTTTATTGTTTTGTGTGTTGTTAAACATAAAGAAAAAAAAATTACCCCTTGGATTCCCTCTTCCTTTTGTTTTTGGTAGTTCCTTTGATGGTTTTGTACAAGGTGATCATTTCGAGAACAAACAAACACACACAAACCAAAAAAAATCACACAAACCACAGCGAATAAATAAATAAAAGGCGCGATGTGTATATTTTTTTGTTCGGAAACGCGCGTTTGTAACTTTATATTATTAAACCGTGCAAGCGCAAAAGCGAAAAGAGTGTGGACCGCACTATAGAGAGCAGTTCGCTTACTGAACAATAGTAATAATGAATCGAATAGTCCGGCCGCAAACATACTCTACTCGGGTGCTATAGCAGCAGTATACGCGATACACACTGTTTGTTATTTAATATTTGCGTTATTCAACCATCCTACACGCTTTATTTATTATTTAAAGTTATGCTCTTCTCTCATTTACGACCACAATGCACTCAAAAATGCCTTTTTATTTTTACTAGCAGCAGCAAAAAATCAGCCAGTTTGCGCTTTGAAATACGCCTATACAATCGAATTTAGCGATTTTATGACTAAGAATCTTTCCATTGGTCTCTCAGCTTGTCTTTATTGCAACAATCAAATGCTTAAAATATATACCTATTTCAAATCTAATAATCAGCAATTTAACCGTCACATTCACTTTATTAACATGGCTTTTGAGATATCAAATTATTATTATATTATTTTATAAGCTATTAATTTGTCATAAAATTTAGTTGTTGTCTAAAACCTTTCATTTGATACCCATGTCAAGGAGGTTGTGTAATCCGCCATCTTGGGGCGGCCGCCATATTGGATTTAGTGTGACGTCACTCACAGAAATACGTAGTCCGCCATCTTAAAGTGGTCGCCATATTGGATTCAGTATGACGTTTTCTTTTTGTAAAACCCTTTCATTTGAAATGGATATTAGCCATCTTTGATCGCTGCCATTTTGAACAAATTATCATCGGAAAGTTACTTTAAAATCGACTGCAAAACAGACAGACAAGCGAGATAATAAAAACTTGTTAAAAATCAATGCACTTGTGTTATTGAACGAAGTTTTTTTTTCTTTGACCACATCCCATTTTACAAGGCTAGATTTTACCAAAAATTGTACTATTTTGCATACAAATTTTTTGTCAAATCCTTAAATTATTATACACCGCCGTAAAATAATGAAAATACATTGAAATCACAAAGGAAAAGTGGTGCCATCTATAGCATTTAACTCGAAATCAGTGTAGGTATCTGTAAAATTACAGGTCACTGTAGAATAAATTCAAGCACATAACCTATAATGTCAAACGTCAAATATACCTATGACATAACGTCGCAAACTTTCGAATGTAGCTCAAGCGTCAAATTAAAATTTATTTTATTAATAAAAGCACGTTACAAAATGATTTTTAGGGCCATAAGACAATTTTTTTCTATTGAATTATTAATTAAAAAATGTTTGAAAAATAATTATAGTTTGCACTGACCTTGCCAACATATTTTTGGAGAATTAATGTTTTTAAGAAAAATCCTGACTCAATCGATGCATTTTCGAAAATCGGTCATGACCTAGATTTCAATCAATTGTAGATATTCGGGTATTTGTCATAAAATTCGATGACACATTTTTTGAATAAATTGATTTATTATATCAGGACCCACATAGCCCTTTAAAAAAAACTCCCTTCTTAAATTGCAATTGAAATCCGAATTTTTTTGTGGATTTAAGGAAAAAGCGCAGTTAGAAAAATACTAAAATCCGAGATATAAAATATTGTTTTTATATACCGAGTCGTTGGTATTCAATGATTTTTCATCATTCTTCAATGAACAATTCTTTTCCCCAAACTCTTCATCTATTTTTTCGCTTGAAGTTTTTTTGTTTGGAATTTTATTTAATTTTGTTCCTTCTGTATTTAATTGCTGATTTACCTTCTTGGCCTACAGAAGTTGGTTTTTTTACAAGTTACTTAATACCAAAAAAAAAACATAACCATAAAATGCGAGGTTTTAAAACAGTACTAGTTTTTTTAATGAAACCCCTAAATTATAGCAAAGATTTATTATGTAAGTATTATAAAATCTATACCTACATCAATAGTAATATTTAAATTAGATACAACACAAAAACAATCAAATCATTATCATTCAGACATTGGCTCAGGTCCAGGGCTGTTGGTAATATCATCCAAAGAGGCATTCATTGAATTTTGTTCCGTCTTATCCTCATTTTCGATTTTTTCATGCAACATATTAGCAGAGGTGGATAATATGTGGAACTGCTTACGTCTTTGGTCTAACTTCTGATCATACTTCCTTCTAACCTCATTTAATTCCTTAATTTCACTCTGCAGTAACGTCAGTTTTTCGTTTGTATCCTTACGAGCTGGTTCCTGATCGATACTTTTTGCTAATAGGTCGTACATTATTTTGTTTTGCTTGACCCTTTTAGATTTTTCCAACTCGCTTTTCTGCCTTTCTATTTCATGTTTAATATCGGTTATTTTTCGCTCGTATTCACTGTATAATTCCATGTATTTGGTTAACTGTGTTTCATTGGACTTTGATAATAAACTCGAACGTTTCCTGGACAATTCACATAGGTTTATTTGGCCTAAAAGCTTGTCATACATCTGCTGGTTTTCCTTGGAGTTATCGTCTGCAGAATTTATTATTTTTCCTAGCATTTTTAGCATTAAATTAAGACGTCTGTCATCACCCGTACCATCCCCATCAAAAATTAATCTTCTTTTAATTACGTCCTCTAAAAATTATATTATTATAAATAAACAATCAATTTTTTATGTTTTTATTATTGCTTACCATCTGACATTTTTGTATTATTTATTGAAAACACTAAAAACGAAACAACACAAAACAAGCGGTTTATTTTGAGGTTATCTTTTATTGAGCGTGCCCAAGTACAGTTGGTGACTTTAGGGATGAAGTGACATGTACAGTCATGGAATATAGTTATGCATTTTCTTCTTCAAAAGTTGTAGTGTACTGTAATTGAAATTTAGGTAAATAAATAAGAAGCTGTCGTTGTATGAATAGCTTATATATTTTTCATGAGATCTGTACAAATTTAATGTCCATTATAATGTGTCATGTGATAACTTTGTACATATGCACTATAAATATAAAATATTTAACAATAAAAATACTGCGATAAAATTTTATAACAATAATATATAATAATTTGTTTTTATAAATGGACGGATTCGAACACAGTCGGTACTTAAAGTCCCTATATTAAATTAAGTTAAAAAAATAATACTTAAATCTAAATACTTAAGTAAAGTATGGTTGAAAGTACAATAAAAACTATGGCATTGTTGCGTTTTGTTCAGGTACTAGGAGTTTAAGTTGAACTCACTTTCGCTTTTAGTAAACTTTTTACCAAAATAAAATATTAACTCCTTGTCCCTGGTTATGCTATAAAAATATCGTCAAAGTGACTAGTATGCAATTGATTTGATCCCAAAATGTAAAAGTTTAATACAAAAATAAATTACACGTCAGTTTGTGGTACACCCTGAGCACTAGTAGAACGGCTTTTGTTTCTCGGCATCATGACCGGCGTGCCCCTTCTGTGGGGCTCCCCGCTGGGGCTGTTGCTCATGAAGTGCTCTTTAAGGGACATGCTTTGAAATGAGGAGGCGCTGTCCGATCTTGGGTGCAGTTTTTCGACGAATTCGTGATCGAGGCGATGGTTTTCGATGCCCTCCTCATTATCCATGTCGCCCATAAAGACTTGTTGGTTGTAGTCGGATGTTCTAAGAAAGAGATCTTTGTTTAAATATAAAATAAATGTTTTGTACATAGTAAATTTATGATTTTGCGTTACTCACAAAAGTATTTTCCTTAAATGAGCCGATCTGCATGAAAAAATTTAATGAATATTAAATATAATGCGGGTGTTAAGGCGAAAGCGAGATTTTTACAGCGTAAGCATTAGTTGTGCGTTATATATTATATTAGTATTAAAGGAAACCTTCTACTGTCCCTTGAGTTCGGATTATAAAAGTTTCCTTTACCTTCTTACCTTTTAGCGTTCCTCCACAACATACAGGCCACTACTAACAGTACTATTAGTAATAGGCAGGCCCCTGACATACTCCAAAAAGCTACTTGTAGGGGTGTAGTTGGCTCCCACCAAAACTAAAACAAGAAAATATATACCTATAATTGTAAAAGACTTAGTTAAGACATACCTCTGTGGTTGGAGGGTATGTAGGTATTAAATGCCCCACAACAGTTGGCAAATATTGTGTCCAAAACGCTGTTTCGGTTTGCCTGTAGTTCCACATAATAGAGGAATTAAAGGTGGTGTTTAAATTCAAATATTTTAACTGTCCATGTTCTGAAACCTCAAAATGCAACCCCAAAATTTGTGTGTATGAAGGATTTCCATATCTAGCAAAATCAGAGTAGGCCTTCATAAAGAAATGGCTTATGTTTCTATCGTTTCTAGTCCACTGTGTTCTAGTAAACCTCTCGTTCGTAGGTAAAAATTCTAGGTCCATAAACGGGGCTCCAGATAAGAGGTAGTGTTCTATGTTGTGGGGTACTTTTCTCCATTCTGGGTAACGGTAGGATTCTACTGTAGTGTTTAATACGTACATATACACAGGGACATTTTGTTCTATTAGTAGTTTAACAATTTTATCGTTTGGAGCTGTGTATAAAAAGTCTGATAAGAGCTCAATGTATTTGTTTCTTATGTGGGTAACATTATGTGGATCAGGCCAATAGGTGTACATGTATTTAATAGCGTCAAAAATCCCGTTTGGATTTAAGGTGTAGTTGTACCTTAGTACTAATTCTTTGACTTTTTGATCGAAGAAATCCTGGTTTACTATGTAATTTGGTGCCAGGGACTGATTTGAAGTTATAAATGAAGCGGCCTCTTGTAATGTGACACTTGACATATACCTCAACCCAGAGTTAAAATGCCTTTTCCTAATCAAATCCTCCACACTCCCATTGATGAAGTGCCAGTCCATCTCATACCATCCTTCATAAAACGGCATGGAAACATTCATTTCCGTAACGGGAGCCCATGGGAATAACCCTACATCCGGTGGAAATTCCGCATTACCAATTTCATACGCACTTCTTCCTTTTAAACAATTCACCAACTTCCATGATGAATCTATGCTACAGCCCATTTGTTTTCCAAACACTCTACTGGTATTCTGGGCTCTGTACTTATCGAATATCATAGCCCAATCGGCTACCGCCGATCCACTTTGGGCTATCACCTTGGAAACCATGTCTTTTGTTTGTGAGGCTACCATAAGTAAACCTGCAGAGGCCGCGCCTGCGCCTGGACCGAACACGGTTATACTGTTACGGTCACCATTGAAATTTTCCGCGTTGTCGTAGATCCAGCGTAAAGCCATGGCTTGATCCAGGATACCGTAGTTTCCAGGGGAATTTATATCGCCGGTACTTAAGAATCCTAAAGCTCCTAGCCGATAGTTAATTGTCACTACAACCACTTTATAGAAAGTGGCTAAAATGTGGCCTGGAAAGGTATTTGAGGCACCATAGATATAATCGCCACCGTGAATGTAGAACATTATAGGGTATTTTTGGGCTATACCTTCTTCCTAAAATTATTAACATTATTATTACTTATTGTTTATGGTAGAATGATTAAATTGCGTACCATATTTGGTGCGTATATATTTAAATATAGACAATCTTCATCCATATCTCTGACGCCTGCCTTTACTCCTACATATCTTGGGGGTTGAGGGCAGGCTGGACCAAAATCTACAGCCTGCAGGAGTTGCCAACTTTTCGGCAAACGCGGGGGCTAAAAAATAATAATCCTTAAATCTCTGTATATAGAGAAAAAAAAATTTAAAAGTTCACTTTTTAGTAATAATAAATATAATAGTTTTTTAGGCCCTGTATAAATATTAGGATATGAAATAATGAAAATACAAATTTGTTATTACGAGGTTAAATAAATTGCCGCATTTCCCAACATCATAATTACAAATCTAGTGATTAATGTAATGAATCATCCATTCTTGGAAAATAGTTTACCTTGAATCTGCCTTCATTCACTGGGGGTTGCGCATAGGGTATCCCTAAAAATACCGACGAGACTCCTTGCTCCCTCTCAATAAACTCCCTTCCGGGCCTGTAGAGGGATTCTGGATCAGGATTGTCAAATAAGTACACCTGAAAACCCTGCACATCTCCGTGCGTGGTTTTCACGAATATATCTCTCTTTTTCTCCCTGGTCTGTTCTCGCCTTTTACCCTGCAAGTCTTCCCTCCAGCCTCCCAACACCCCTGGAAGAATAGGGTCCGAATGCCCTTGCTAAAAAAATGTTTTAGACCCGATTTTGTTGCTTTACTGTACATTACCCTGTCGTAATAAAACTTTTCGTCCTGCCCGTGAATGGGATTCCCAGGGCTCCATTGGCCATAGTAGTAATTATTGTGTTGCCCATACCGCCGCCCTTTGTACGTATACGTTCTGTAGTTTCTGTCCCCTGGGTCGGGTACTTCAGGTCTGTTCACAGGCCCGTATGCATTATAAGGGTTCTGTCTATTCGCTTCATATCCATACTGATTGTACTGGGTGTACTGTCCGTTCTGTTGACCACCAACAAAATCACTTAAGTCACAAAACACCAACAACACAAACGGAACAACAAAGATTTGTTGTTTCGTGCGCGCCATGTTTGTTGTACCTGTGTTGTGTTTGTTCGCGTGACGTCACGCAGGTGCTTTTAAAGGTAAAAACTCAAGTCGCGCTGACCACAGACGGCGCTAAGACACGCCCATCAAATTCGAATTTTCACCATTGCTAACCGAATTCTGTATTTTATCGCGATAGCGCTCTGAAGAACAATAAGATAACTGAACTTCACTCACGTTGAATTATGTGGGAGTGGAATTAATTAAACACAGTAAAACCGAACTACTTATGCTTAGTTAGGAAAAGTTGATTCATCTCAATAAAAGCCTTCATTCACAAACTGTTAATTATACATTTTAATGTACATAGGTACACAGAATCCACACTTATCTCAGATATCATGAAATAAAATTTGTTATCAAAGGGTTCATTTGTTTACACTAACAAATGTTGATGTTCTAAATAATCAATTATTTTTCTAATACCTTAGGTATATACCTAGGTATACACGTGACTAATATTATATTCTTAATGCGCTAGACCGAAACTTATCCACAACAATTTACTGTAAATTATTTATTACAGCAATGCTTTAATTTAGGTCAATACAAGTTTATTTATTTTATATAAGGCATTCTAGAATATAAACAATATGCGCAATATTTATTTTAATATTTTGTATTTCCACGTTTGTAGGTACTGCATATTGTACTTTTAATGACAAAAAGTATTAAATCTTAGATGGATAAGGAATCGATATGATATCTCAGTATTAAATAAATTTGGGTACCTACCTATTTATTATTATTTAAATGGACCCAACAACAAGGACTTGTAGATAGGCAATTTTATCGCGCGTGTAATCTGGGTTGCCTACAAATATAACCTATCTTTTAAACGTCAGATTTAAATGTCCACAATTATTTACTTTATTTATAACGTGAAAACAACAATAAATAATGTGGAAACTAAGTGGTTTTGTGAGGACGTTAAAACGTTTTTATTCTTCAAGAACGATTTTTGCCCTATCGTCAGGTAATTATAAATTATAATATATTATAATAATGACATATCCCAATGTATTTATATTTTCTCTAAGGACAAGGCAAATGTGGGGTGGCCGTTATAAGAATATCAGGTCCAAAATCCGGTGAAGCTCTAAAAAAATTAACGAACATGAAAAATATGCCAGAACCTCGTTTGGCAAATTTACGAAGTATCAGGAACCCCATAACACAAGAAATTTTGGATAAGGGACTAGTTCTATGGTTTCCAGGTAATTTGTAAAATTATAATGGAAATATTTTTAAATTATAAATTTAGGCCCCAAAAGCTTCACAGGAGAGGATAGTTTTGAATTGCACGTACATGGTGGTTTGGCTGTAATAAATTCAATATTAAATGCCTTGGGTACTATTGACAATGTTAGGGCTGCTGAAGCAGGTGAATTTACAAAAAAAGCTTTCCACAATGGAAAATTGGATTTGACTGAGGTTGAGGGTTTAGCCGATTTGCTGCAAGCTGAGACAGAGGCCCAAAGAAAGCAGGTGTGTAAATAAAACAAAAATTAATATTATAAATATTTATTATGTAATAGTTATAGGCATTTTTGCAAACTCAAGGGTCTCTGAGTAGGTTTTATAACAATTGGAAGGAAATTTTGGTGAAATGTGTGGCACATATCGAGGCCCATATAGATTTTGACGAGACTGAAACTTTGGATTTGGGGATTTTACTTGGTGTTGCCAGGGATGTTAAAAAATTGAGGGATGAAATAGAAAATCATTTAAAAGATGGTAGAAAAGGAGAGACTCTAAGAAATGGAGTCAAAACCGTTATTCTTGGAGAACCTAATGTTGGAAAAAGTTCTCTCCTTAACTTACTATGTAGGTTGCAAATGAAAATAAAAATTATCATTGAATAAAATTTTTTTGTAGGTCAAAGACCAGCAGCTATTGTTACTCCAATAGAGGGCACCACCAGAGATATTTTGGAAGTAACATTAAACATAGGAGGTTACCCCTTGGTACTAGCTGACACAGCAGGTTTGAGATTAAAAACTGATGATCTAGTTGAAAAGGAAGGCATTAAAAGAGCATTAAGTATGTATGAACAAGCTGACTTAATCCTACTTCTCACTGGAGCTGACAAATACTCACTTTGGTTGGAGAAGAATCCAGAAAGCACATTTCAAGATTACCTACAAAACTACGTTGAATCGTTAAAGTTGTCTAACTTTTTGGATAAAAAGAATTTTATAGTTGTACTAAACAAGACTGATCTACTGCCAAATTTTGACGGGGAAGAAAATTTAATCCCAATTAGCTGCAAGACTGAGCAAGGAGTGACAAATTTGGTGGAAAATATAACAGGGGAGCTAAAAAAACTGTAAGTAGGTACATTTTATGATTTAAATGTATGGTTTTAATTTTATTACTAATAAATAGGTGTGGAGAACCTTCAAAGGAACACCCTTCTATGAACCAGATAAGGCACAGGCAAAATTTAATAAATTGTTTGGAAAATTTGGATTTATTTCTAAAATATGTAGGAAAAACTGAAGATTTTAACGGAGACATGGTTTTATTAGCAGAATATTTAAGAAAATCTTTAAAAAGTTTGGGAAAACTGGTTGGAACTGTTACCAATGAGCAGCTTTTGGATGTTATTTTTGGCGATTTTTGTATAGGAAAATAAAAAATGTTTTTTAAAGCGTTCTTTTTTTAAACCCCTAAAAATATTGATTAATAAATCCTCCCCAATGTCTTCATACTTAAAAAGTTTCAGCTATTGTCCGTTAGATGTCGCGCCATTAGTTATGGGGCATATACTTACCAAGTGGTAAGTATATGTTATGGGGCATATACTTACCAAGTGGTAAGTATATGTTATGGGGCGACATTAGCTGATATAATATGAATAAAATCAGGTTTCATAAATAAATTTTGTATTAAGCTTACAAAAATATATGTCATTTATATAAATAATGGTTATTACCAAATAATACATTTATTTTGTGGATTCATTGTTGAATTTAGGGGGCAATTAAAAGCCTTTGCGAAATCCTCGGAATTACTTATGGGTCCAATTACTCTAAAAAATAATTATTGTTTTTTTATAATATTAAAAAAATATATATTATTACCGGAAAATTCCAGGTGCGTGTACCGATGTTTTTATTCTACTTTTAGCCGTCTCGTATCTTTGTCTCCCGCACCAAACTTGAGCAAAATTAAGAAAAAACAATTGTTCCCCATTTAAAGACATCTCTGGTAAGAATTCATCTTCTGTGTGTTCCAAATTTTCATCCAGCCAAGTTTTATAAGCCTTAAAATGCGTTTATACATGGAATTGTTCATAATCCAACAGGCGGAGAAAGTGCTCATTACTGGCTGCAGATCTGAGCGAGGCAGTTAATATGCTTTCTCCGCCGTGTTGTATATACTATATATTTTTTCAAGCGTTTAATAATTACTATTCTTGACAATGTTGACAATTGACAGAATAGGTTATGTGCAGTGACCTGTAATTTTACAGTTATCTATATATATTTCGAGCTAAATGCAATAGATGGAACCACTCGTCCTATGTAAATATGAAATCTTTCTATATAATATAAAAATTGTTATACGCTTGAAAAAAATGTATTTTTTTAACGTTAACTTACCCTGAAAGCTTGCTTGAGACCACCATTATCGGCAATATTTTCTCCTTGCGTCAAATAACCGTCAATGGGAAGGTTGACCTCGGGCAAAATATATTTGCCGTATTGTTTGACCAAACATTCAGCCTTTTCGTAAAAATTTTTAATCGCGTCATCACCCCACCATAAATGTATGTTACCTTGATGATCGTAAAGCCTGCCCTTATCATCAAAACCATGCGTGATCTCGTGTCCTATCACGACACCGATGCCGCCAAAATTTAGGGCTTTGGGGAAATGACGATGGTAGAACGGTGGCTGAAGCATTCCTGCGGGAAAAACTAAAAAAAAATCTTTGAATTAAGGTGTATTGAGATGAAGATGAGTCTTACGTATTTGGTTTTTATTTCTGCTGTAATAAGCGTTCACCACGGCTGGATATGTCACCCAGTGAGTTTTATTTACGACATTTCCAACTTTTTGTTCATCAAATCGGGTAAGATGTCTTAATATGATTAAAGTGTTTTCGAAGAAATACTCTGGATGTATTATAACGTCATTATAGTTGTTTGATAGTTCTTTATCGTTTAAAATAAAATCTGGAAAGCCTATTTTCAAGTCCATTTCATTAATTTTCATGTGGGCGTATTGTTTGGTTTCATCGTCTAACCAAGTGTTTTCCAGAAGGATATTTCTGAATGCGGTTTCAAGAAATTCTGTCATTTCAGTCGTCTGAAATTTTTAATTATTCATAAAAAATTAAATACATAAATATATATGTACCAGGTACATTGTACCTACATCGTTTCTGCTATTTTTGTCAAAATATTTTTTGACGAACAAAGAACCAACCGCCATGCCCATTTTGCCGTTAACTTGGGAGACGCAGAAAGTCCAACGAGGTGGGTCTTTTTCTTTTCCAAATAAAACTTGATAGAATCTAGAATCATTGTAGTTTTAATAATATACACTAAAACCAAACACAAACTGCTTAAAGTATATATGTTGGCATCTTCAGAAGCGAAATGTAATTACTTTAAGCGCTTTGTGTTTTGTTTTGGTCTTGGGGAATATTTCTAATATTTGTTTAACATATCATCAAAAATATCTACATACTTTTGTTTTGCCGCAGAAAATCTGCCATCCAAATTGCTGGCGCGATTTTTTATAAACCTCCAAAGTACGTAATTCTGCAAAATTCTTGGCGGAGTTATACTGATTATGTAAACCAGTTTTTGCAGGTATTCGGAGCAGTATACTGCCACTGGGTAAACGGGCGTTATTTTTTTGCCCAGCACCATTTGGAAGTATTTTTCCCAATCAAACTCTGCATAGTATAGTGGTAAAGTTTGTATATCAGTACGCAAGTATAGATTTAGAATATTTTTTCTGGCTTCATTTGATGACATTATCTAAAATAAAATAAAATAAATATTAAAAAATTGTAACCATTGTAAACTTACAGAAGCTAAATCAATTTCGAATTGGACAATTTCCTCCACGTAGTTTTCCAGAATAATATCAGTATCGGTTAACAACAAAGCAATGTCTTGAATAAATTTTTTGTAAGCTTCCAAATATTTGGAAAATGCCGGATCGATAAAATATTCACGTGACGGTAATCCCAATGAGGGCTGGTCAATCTAAACATACACAAAAGTTATCGGAAAAGGAACAAGAATAAATAAGTGATTGTTATTTAAGTAAATTAAATAAAGATTTATACTTATTTTACATGTATTATGTATTCGTTTGAGTTCTTCATGTCGAGACCAATCCATTCGGATATCAATACGTCATTGTTGAGAAGACGTAATCGCCCTAAAAGCGAAATTAAGTCGAAACTTGATTCGTCCCAATTTTCGTCAATAATAGGCCAACCGCCTAAATGCCTTATCATTTTTAGCAGGGGTTCCTCTCTACGTTCTTCAATAGCGTCTAAAATTATTATTATAATTTGCGTTTTTTATAGTTTTTTTTTCTATAGTATACCTTGATTCATACAAGACTCATATAAATACTTGGCCTTAACAACGGCACTTGTGGGCACATACGGTTCTTCGTCGTGAAAAATATAATCCTCAATTTTATTTTTGTATTTTTTATCGAAATCTTGTGTTATGGACTGGAAAATACATACATTAAAAAACGTCAACTTTCTATGTTAAATAATACAGGAACTTCCACGTCGTCCAAAATTTCTTTGATGACATAATCCACATTTTCTCTAACCATCTCGAATGTATCATATGCAGCTCTATCCGGTGGTATCTCAAAATGGTTATCCCAATTGCCGCAAGCATACCCATAGAAATCTTCGCACGGGTTTATGTCCAGATTCATTAACTTTTTCATTATGCCACTTTGAAGTTTCCTAATCTCACCTTTCTTTATTTGGTGTTTAAAGAAAAATGGTCTCTCGGTCTTTTTGTCATAGGGGGTTTTCCACGACATCTCTTCTGGTACGTTGTAGGTTATCAGAACTTCATCTATGTCGGTTTCCTATCATTGATTCGGTTAAAATTGTATGTAGGGTGTTTGGTAGGTCATTGCTTCGTTTGAAGGTTGTTTGTTGAATGAAAGAAAGGTTGTGGACCTTTGAGATCGTGGTGTGACGAATCTGTGCAAGGTTTAATTCCAAGGTTTAACAACGGTTTCCAGACTTTCCTTATATCCTCTGAGAGCCTCTGGTGTTTGCACTCCTTCCTCAAATTCGGTTCTTTGTTCAAAATTTTTGATTTGACCAGGCGTGGTCAGCTGAAGGCCTGAAGATACTCACCAGTAGAAACTATGGAAGTCCAAAACCTTTCTTTCATTCGGTGATAGAAAATGTTATTTTCTTTTTACAAAGGTAAGTAAATAGGTTCTAAATGACATTTTTCAAAATGGTATTACCATCTTCTACCGCCTAAAAGGTTTGCAACAACATGCCAAACACACTGAAAACATCTTGTAGTTATACCGAAAATCTTCTTTTTCTCTTAATGGAGTCATTTTTGCTGATAAATCCATAATTTGGTATATATTCCGTCTTGACTCCATGCAATATGTCCCTTTTTTCTTCCAATATTTCCGCCTCATCTTATGAAATTGTTAAAATGGTGAAATGTTTTTGTTATGAATAGGTACTTACATAGATCATTTTCTTGTATTATTATTTCTGCGGAAACGCCTGCTTTGGTAATGAGGTAAATAACTAAAGCAACTGTCAGTAAAACAATGGGCACAAACACTAAACGTTTAAGTAAGTTTGACCAAACATTTTGCTTGCCGACGCACCATCTGAAATCGATTAAAAAATCAAAAACGTTCACAATGCCGCGATTGCGCAAATTAATAATTAATTAATAAAAGACAATTAAACGTACTGCACGCGCCCAGATTCGTTGTTAACGGCCAAACGGCAGGAGCATTGGCGTTTCGGTTTTTCCTCCATGGTCCATAACTTAAAACAAACCTCACACAATATATTCTACAGGAACCTTTCTGATGAATCTGACCTTAGCTTTCAATTAATATCTGGGTCATTTTGATTTAACCCACGAATAAGCCGTACTGATTTATAATTCGCACTAATTTCATTATTTAATCAGCACGCGCACGTTTAATTACCCACCTCAAGAATTATCAATTTTAGATTTCATTTTACTAAAATGGTATCTAAAATTGACTTTTAAACAATATTCAGTATACTGTGTGCTCCACAAACAGGCACGGACAGACAGCCTGTTTCGGTCGTTTGGGCCTCATCAGTGCCGGGTGGTGTGGCTCCATCTACCGTCCATTCAATTACTTTCCGTTTCTTTTGCGGTAAAACTACACTTATTTTTCACTGTATGGTTCTATAATTGCCTGTATCAAAATTATCCGCAATTAAATTAATTTGCGAGTAACAGTATTATAATTGATCATTATTTCTCAATTGAAAGAAAAAACATTAGCACCTTTTAAATCAACAAACCGATATAATTTTTCGGGCGGTAATTTAATTAGTAAGGGAGCTTGATTGCCTGTCATATATTGTTTTTAGCAATGCAATGCTTTTATTTTTAACTAATACCTTATCCTGTATCTGAGTGCTTTAAGTAGTTGCCATAGGTTATAATTTTAAACGCCGCTTCTGAGTACTACTTATTAAATTTGATCCTCCTTAAAGCGATAGACGGTGAAACGCCTTTTCAGATAAACCAAAAAATTACTTCATTTACAAAATTGTATCGTTAGATAATTTGTTATACAGGGTGTGCCGTTTATAATGGGTTTATTTCTGGGGTCAAAAGATGCCATATGTTGACCCCAAAAAGTAACCCCCATTTATTTTTTTAATTACTCGAATAATTTTGTTCTTGTAAAATTAAGACAATCGCTCACATTCTAAGTTTTAAAATGACTAAGCACTTTAGGTTGCCGCAATAAGGTTTTGATACATTTAGCCTTTTAATTAAGTTTATATACCGCTCTTATAGTGTTGTAATCAAGATTTCATGTAAACTTAATAAACTACAAACATTTATTCATTAAATTGTATTTATTTGTATTCAAAACAACTCTAATTGATTCGTAGTGTGAATACTGCAAATTTATGTAAAATTAGTGTTTTTAAAACTTTTAACTGACATTGGAATTTTTATCTAATTAGGAATTATTTTGTTCAATAATTCAACATTTTTTTAACATGTTTTCTTTACTAATTCGACCACGCTGATTTCAAAAAATCAAACCGCAGTTTCGTAACTCTTTATAGTAAAGAAAACATGATAAAAAATTAATTGGATAACTTTAGATTTTATGTTTATCAGAAAAAATTTTGCGTGGTCGAATTAGTAAAGAAAACAAAAAAAAATAATTGGGCAACTTTCGATTTCATGTTTTTCGGAATAAATTTTACCTTGGTCCCCCCTTATAAAAAAATACCGCGGTTTTCGAGTGTAACTCCCAAACCCGAAGAGTTACGAAAGTTACGAAATCATGTTTAAAAATTAATTGAGCCACTTTCGATTGATGTTTTTCAGAAAAAATTTTGCCTTGGTCCCCCCTTATAAAAAAAACCGCGGTTTTTGAGTGAAACTCCCAAACGAGAAAAGTTACGAAACTGCAGTTTGATTTTTTGAAATCAGCGTGGTCGAATTAGTAAAGAAAACATGTTAAAAAATGAATTGGGCAACTTTCAAATTTTATAAAAAAATATCGCGGTTTTCGAGTGTAACTCCCAAACGCGAAGAGTTACGAAAGTTACGAAACTGCAGTTTGATTTTTTGAAATCAGCGTGGTCGAATTAGTAAAGAAATCATGTTAAAAAATTATTGCCTTAAAACATGTTTTCTGTTTTTTTTAACTAATTTTAAAATTAAGACATTTTAACCACATACAATTACAATTTTATTCAAATGAGATTAATAATTTTCCGTGGTTTTCTTACTAATATCGAAAGCAGTATTTTCGCGAAAAATTGTTTTCGATCATATTTTCGTCGATGTAAAAATTCCGAACACATGTTCTTAACTCAGCTATACACACGAGTGACAAGAATATGAAAATAACGGTCCCTGCAAATTTGTTGATGTTTTCATAAAAACCAAATTCATTTTACGTCGAGCGAAACTATTTTCGCTGAAAAAAAAAATACATCGTCGAAGGAAAAAAAATATATTTGCAGTTACGTTTTATCCTGCCGTGCCTTTTATAAAATGTCTGTATTTGAAAAAATTTAAATTCAGCTTTGGGTAAAACGCGTCTTTTTGATGTTAGTGACTGTTAGAATGTTATTGAATTATTCAGATCTGTACAGTGGTGTGAAACAGCGAATAAACGTAAAATAATATAAACCTCACTCCACCCGACCAATTGTGAAACACCCTCGCTCTCTTGCTTTACAGCAGCTCTCTTTTGCCAGGGCCGTCTTACAGAACGAAAATATTTTTGCCTTATCAATTGATGAACATTTTTCTAATTGTTTAGATGCCGTGGTGAAAATAACAAAACATAATATAGAATAAAAGGCAGAAATCAAGACTCAAGAAACAATAACATTAAATATCTCAACAAAGTCTTTGTGTTTATTGACAATTTTATTCATCCTATTCAATACAATGTCTGTCAAATGTATGTTTTGACATTATTAAAGCAGTGGCGTTACCAAGTTTTTAGATATAGTGTTTATGTATCAACTTGCTTGGATAAATTTTAAAAAACTTATAAGTAAAGCTGCTCGGGCAATTTTTTATGATTTTTATGTTTGCTAAAATATTTGTTGTCGACTCCCTGTATGGGTAATAAGATAATCGTCTGAAACATTTTTTGGGACGTCACTGGTGATCGGAGGTGTTCGTATTGAAGTGCAGGTATCATGTAAAGATGCCAAGTCATTTCAATATAAAGTTATTGAAAAGTATACGTATATTTAAACGAGGCAAGAGAATAACAGCGAACAAAAGCCGACAAAAGATATTTCTACTTTTAAATTTGTGCTACTTAACGACGTCTCGAATGTGGCTTTTTCTTCGATCGTGATAGAAGTTTATTATTGCATCCCTGTTCTAAAATGTAGATTAGAGATAAGGTTTTTGCCATTAGCTTAATTTGCCAAAAATTGCCCCGGAAAGCTTATGTTTATAATAATAGTTCGGAGGAATGTTTTTGTGTTATGAAAGATGTCGAGAGAAAAAGACAATGATATTTGAAATTATTTGATGCTGACTTTTCAACAAAAGACCCGATGAGCCGTCAAACCGTCAAATGCTAAGTGTTTGGACCACTCCAGTTTGCTTTACAAAGAAAACCGTCACTCACAACATTACTAACATAACCCTTTGTAATATATACAATAATTTTATATGCTACAATCACAATTACAACGGTACAGAGCATTTCGTTATTTCATAGAATATTTTCCGATACGTCTCTGTATTTTTATGCAATAATTTAAAAAAAAAATGATTGAGGTTTCTAACGAGACGTCTATATTTTGTTTATTCTTTAAATAACATTTTAATCAAACTTAAACCGAATGTTATTTATTCATCTAAAAATAATAAATAAAATCCATTGATTGTGTTTCTCAATGTTTGTTGAGTTTTACATAAGAAAGTCAACAAAACAACCTTTTTTAATCAATTATAGATTGTGATCTAGAATGTCGTGTGCGTGTAAATATTTGAAAAAACTTGTCGAGTTTTTTCAATCCCTGAAATAAGAAAAATAATATTTTCCTCAGATCCTGCTTTTTATTAAATTACGTCCTTTTATTTTCGATGGATATCTAACGTAACACATTTTTATTTCTTCGTAACTTATTTTTCAGATAGTGCTTTTCACTGATATATGAACCGTTGGAAAGTTTTATAAACTGATTTGCGATTGATCCAAAAACTTATCCACACACACGCAAACATAAAGAGAAAAAGAATAAAAAGCATCTGGGTGCGTTTAAAAATGTTTCGAATAAAAAACTGTGAATAATTTTTCCAGTTTGTTGGTTTGCAAGTCTGGGTGTAATAATAAATTAGAGAGGTGCTTATTGTGCGACACGTTGAGGCGACAATGAGAACGCGGCAAACCCTCCAAGTATAAGTAAATCGCGACGGGGGCCAACGCTGTTTAACTAACAACGTATTGAGCTAAAGCAGCAGCGCTCTACATTTAGGTCCACAATTATTTACTAATTCGCATACAGTCCAATAAATACAATTACAATTGCTGATTGCTGGTGCGAAAAACATCCAATTACACACGATTACGACATGGGCCCGGCAAGAATTTCGTCTTATTGTTTGTGTTGTTGCTTGCCAGCGTTGATTTTCCTTCAGGGGTCCACTCACAACCGACTTCAACTTGTTTTTGTGTAAACATCCTCTGGAACACCTCAAGGCCTCCACTTCACCACCGACATATTTCAAAAAGACAAAACAACAAATCTCAACATAAAAGACAATTTTTTTTAAATAAAAATGATAATATGCTTATAAATCTATAACTTTCATCTGGAATGGTTGTTATACGGTCCGCATAATATATTATGCGGACCGTATAACATAATATATATAAAATAGTTATTTATGTCATTGGGTTAAGAAGTAAGGCTTTTTGTGCTAAGCTCAAGGTTTGAGCGAAGCACAAAAAGGCACTTCTTGGCCGAATGGCATACAACATTTTATCTTCAAAGCACTTTATATAGGTCAATTTAATTCAACATCAAAGCGGCCTAACCTCACTTTTTTAGAACCTCATTTATTTATTAGCTAAAGATTACATTAAATGTACAATAATTATTATTGCTTTTAGAAGCAGTAATACTTTGACAATACCTAGCAACATGATTTAAGTAGACATGGATTTTTGCTATTACATTGAATTCAATTAATTGTTTAATAAATAGGTAGGTATCTAATTTTAATTTGTTTGGATTTTTATTTAAAAAATAGGTAGTTTGAAATGTTTAAGCTGTGTTTAACATTTAATTTCAC